TGAGGGTAACTTGAATTTTCGCACGTAACTTATAACAGTATTACTGCAGTAACTTTATTAATTGCAAACGTGCCTTAATTCTTGTTTTGGATACCGTAATCTACATCCAAAGTAGTTCAAGAAAATGTAAAAAGAAACAAAAAAGGATTTTCCGATAGTCGAGAAAGGCGGTCACGAAATGATACGAGGAAAAATACAGCCTTTTACAAGATGAGGAAACTTTAAAAAACACCACCAAAAAAGTAGAAAATATTGAACCAAAATGGGAAGTTATGACGTGGAGGAAAATTTGAAATACATTTTGTGTCTAAGTGGTTTATTACATAAAGGAAAAGAGGAACACTGAAAGAATTGGAATTTTTGCAAATTTTATGAGGCGGGTCAAAAAAAAAAGGATTACATATGAAAAAAAAATAAAAACTCATTAGTTGAAATACTCGTAGCGAACAATAATCGGTTGCTGCAAGTAAATATTTAAGAAAAAAAAATTGGCAACAACTCATCTTTCTAGAAGTGAAAAAATTATTGCGGTGGTTAAGTAAGTGCCCCTGGTGACCATCAGTTTTTCTGACTGTCAAGAACTGTAATTGTACCGTCGCAAAACACATATCAACTGCGTCATAATATAATGCTTCTGACTCCCTTCGTAAATGTTCCCTCTTCTTTATTTCTGGCCTCCTGAATCTTTGTTCAGTTTCCACTGGTGCGCTTACTCTCTTTACCAAAACGCTGTGCAGGTGAGTCCAGAGGATTAAGTCTTTGCCTTTTCAGCCAACTTTTCAAAGGCATTTTACACACTCCCTGATATTGCCTTCTTTGACTAGAAAACTACAGTTTCAGATTGGCCAGTTCAGCAAAAGCCGAGAAATGGTATTGAAATCACTGGAGATATTTCCCAACCACACCCACTCAAAAATTCTTCTCGATCGCCTACAGAAAATGTACTATACCTTTTGAAAAATACCTTTACTAATAGGATTCATTAGCTTGCAAAACCAAAACCATTTGAACACATGAATATTTTTTTGCTTTTAACAGTAAGTTGGGCTGCAAACAGCAGAAGTAAACTGTTAATTCCTACATGATACAATACTTTTATATGTATGTCATACAAACGTTCCCTTTTTATCTTTCAGCAATGATTTCAATTAAACTGTTTGTATAAATTTAAAACTCATTAAAAAACAGCCTCAGACCCATTTTCTTCCTTATTTCTTGCAGTAAGAAAATAAGAAGTCAAGTATACCAACCCATCAGTTTTTTGGTGTAACAAAGAGCGACTCGAAGGTCATATAGTCACCACTGTAATGACCTTCTTAAATGAGAGTTAACAAAACGTAGCAAGACAACTCTAAAGGGACATTCTGGGATTTTCAATTACTACACCTTCCACAAAAACTGACTTCCAAATGAAGATCCTCCTAAGAAAGCCGACATTAACCGCTACAACAACTTCTCCAAAGACGTTACCGTCTGCACGTGGACTACCACCAAAGTTGCGGTAAACAGTCACACTTTTACTGGTACAAAACCACCTTGCGAAAAATTAAACTGACTGTTTCAACCTAAAATTTTCCGTAGTGACACCAATAAGTCTTCATTAATATTTGACCAGTTAAAACAATCACACAATGACAAAACAGATTTGTTGCCTAATTAAAAAGCATTGAATCATAAACACCTTACAGACAAGAACAAAACAAACTTCACCGTCCAAGTAAAGCGGTCTAGTCAAAGTCTATGTCGTCCAAAAAGTTTAACCCTCTTTGCTTCACACTCGACTGCCTCAACGGTGTCGCTGTTCCCCCAAAGCATCTATGCAAGTCAATTACTTCTGAATCGATCCCAAGTCTTCCCACAGTGAGTACAGTCAGCAAACGTGCAGAAGACTGTAAAAAAAACCCATTACAGTTCTCCGTGGTTAGTAGATACAAGCAATTCGTTTACTGGACGTATTTCTCGAATGAATTCAAAAGATGATTCAACTCTCTCTGACTAGTTCAGATGGGCTGATGGTTTATCAATTATGATGACCTGAAAATACTAACAAATCACTATGCCTATCTTGGTTCGAGACCAGATGCAAGCCCCTACTATCATAGATGAGGTACTAAAATAGCATTCCGTTTTTCTGCTGATAATCGTCCTACAGCCAGGATAACAAACGTAAAAGCTGAGCCTTCAAAGCCAAACTTACCTATTTTGTTGATCACAGTCAACGTATTTGTTGAATCTTCCGATACATGTAGTTGCAAAGGATCCACTACATCTGAGAAGTTTATAGCACATTCAGCCCTATCACGACTAACCAACAATCTTTTTTAATCTCAAACGTTCACTCTAAAATTCCTTAATAAGTGTCTAAAATATTAGATTTCTATGCTTATTTACTGTAAGTAATCGACGGTCGTCGGTGCTTACAGCAGCAACTTACTTGCAAAAAGATTTATAAACTGAAAGACTCGCTTGCAGTAACGAATGGCATTATGTTGACAACGAATCACTCAAACGACTGCCAACCTGATTTCTAAAAAAACCTAACTTTGGTGACGTTGAACAAGCTCATAATCACCTGTTTTTATTTTACAGTACCTTGCACTTTGCAGTAATTTATCACCCAGTTACTCTCCAAATAATACAGTCCAAGAGGCTCAAATCCTAAAGTTACACCAGATATAATTACGATTAAGACCGAACGCTTGCTCGCTGCCCTACTAAACATAATTCGATACTGTCGCCTACAACCAAATTTAAAAAATGATAACTTGAAATTAAATCAATTAAAAACTTGACTGCATAAATACAAAACAAATCTAAACTTAAAAGCGGAAAAATCTACAAATTGATAATGAACACGACTTATCAGGCAAGTTAACAACAGAAGAAGCTTTGGAATACACCAAAAAAGTCACTATTGAAGAAAACTTGAGAAAAGAAATTTGAACTTCCAATCCACTCTAACAGCTACTAAAACAATAACCTCCTGGTTGACATCTCATATGCTTATATAACGGAACACGAGGATGTAACCTACGGTTTATTCTGCAGGGTCTTCCTCCTAGCGATAGATCAAAGGCCGGCCCTCTAGTAGCATTTTGCTTCCGATCTCACGTGTTGTTCCGATAATTTCCCTAAAAACGTGAAAAAACTACTAAGATTAGATAATGAAGACCCAGAAGTCCCTTACACAAATAAGGAAACAGTGACTACTTATACAACAAAATTAACATCTTACGTACCAATATCAATGGTTCTTCAAATCAGTTGAAGCAATAACGCTTTTAGCGATGCTTTGCTTAATAATGCAGAAAAATAAGCACCATAAAAGGCGAAGTAGTTGAAAAAATACAAGACTTTCTCTGTAATACAGGTAGAAAAACTAAAAAACCACCTTTGCATACCTATTTAGAAAAAACCTAGGAATAAAGATAGATTTTTTAACTTAAGGAAGCAAAGTATGAGGCTCTGTCTCCAAAAAGTAAAGCTTACTAATTCATCTCCGAAGTAAGCAAAAAATTAATTCACACAACTGTTCGTATAGGATCCTCGACAATAACAATTCTTGTTTTTGTTTTCTCGTCGCTCGAACCACCGATAATGCAGTTACTATTGAAAGGAAGTCTCCTGAGACCATTATCTTCAATTTCTGCAACAACTGACAGCAGCCTCACAGACAGAGACGGACTCCATCGCATAAATGAGCGCTCAGTCCACATAATGGGGAACTTCAGCCTTTACGAATTAGATCGTTTAGTCAGTTACAAATCACCCTAGAAAAAGCTTGATTTTTCCAAGTCTACAGGAAATCCCTGTAACTTCATTTCAGAATTGAAAAGAAGTGCTATGAAGTCGCAGAAGTCAATAAGCAACTCTGATTCACAAATTATCGAATCTTCTAAACATCCAAAATAGACGATGTCGCGACCAACGCGAATGCTAGAAGGACTGGGCTCATGCGAAGTGTTGTAACGCAATAAAAGAGAAAGAAGTCTAACGAATCAAGCTAGATGATGTGAATGGCGCCTACCAGGAGGCAAAACCCTAACCCGATAATTAGCATAAACAGCCTTCACAAAAGATTTACAGGCATGTACTATCAAGCTAGCGGGCGACATGATTCGATTAAAAGAAGGTAGAGGAACCAAGGAGGGCATCTTTTTAAAATTTTTTACTCCAATACATAGCCCGTTTAGGAAATTGCTGCTTGGTCTTTAGTGATTGCCTTATTTGCTGCAATTCGTTGATTATTTCAATTTACCTGATTATCTTCTGAGGGTGGGTAATCTTTCTGTCAATGCTGTGTATCCAATATTAAGTCTTCCCTTTTGGGTGTCCTTTAGTTTTCGTTGCCGTGTTAATATCGTTTAATTTTGCTCCTGTTTCTCTTTAAACCTCGTTTCTCTCTACAATCGTCTTAATCTCTCTCTTTCTTTCCCACTCGTACTCCTTCATTTGTTCCTTCCAAATAATTATAATTTCAAGTTCTAATAAAAACACTTTAAAACTAATTTTAAGGTGTTGTAACACCAGTGCGGTTAGAATCTACGACACGAAAAGATTGGCGACTGGCGCCAGCGAAACAGCTAAAACGTGCGCATTCACTAAAGCCGATCAGATTAATAAGACCGACAGGAAAAGAAACCATCGAACAGCGATGCGAAGTGATTGCCGGTCAGTTAACCTCCTCTTATGTAGCTTCATCTTTTTCAAACCCAAATTTGAGGTTTACTCACGTTCTTACGTATTCGACACTTGTCACAACGACACAATTTATTAGCAGAAAGTTATCTTTTTCTCTTCCATTTTTTCTATTACAGACGACCTCAACTGCTAGTAATCTGGCTCGAACCAAGGAGCCCCAGTGGTATTCCTCCAGACGCTAACGTTTTGTTCGATATGAGAGCCAAAGTAGCGGCTAGAGGTAGAAGCGAGCTATCCTCGGAACTTACGTTTTATTAAACACTTCATATGATCCTATGGAAACGTGAAATTGGGCCAAGTATTTGCATTTTAAATATG